TGGCTGTTATTAGATGAAGAAAGTATATTCCCTTCTATTCTTTGTTGGTAGATTTTATAATGAATGGATATTGACTTTTGTCAAATGCTCTTTTTTTTTTTTTTGAGACGGAGTTTCGCTCTTGTTACCCAGGCTGGAGTGCAATGGCGCGATCTCGGCTCACCGCAACCTCCGCCTCCTGGGTTCAGGCAATTCTCCTGCCTCAGCCTCCTGAGTAGCTGGGATTACAGGCACGCGCCACCATGCCCAGCTAATTTTTTGTATTTTTAGTAGAGACGGGGTTTCACCATGTTGACCAGGATGGTCTCGATCTCTTGACCTCGTGATCCACCCGCCTCGGCCTCCCAAAGTGCTGGGATTACAGGCTTGAGCCACCGCGCCCGGCCTCAAATGCTCTTTTTAAATGTAGCAATATGAAGGTGATATGATTTTTCTCTTTCATTCTCTTAATATGGTGAATGACATTGATTGGTTGTTGAATGTGAAACCAACCTTGTGTGGCTGAGCTAAACTGTACTTGGATATGATGTATTATTTCTATAATATATTGCAGGTTATGTTTGCTAATAGTTTAAGATACAAATTTATCTTCACAGGGGATGTTGGTTTGCAATTTCTTTTCTTGCAATGTCTTTGCATAGTTTTGGTAATAGGTTAATGATGAACTCATGAGATGAAGAGTGTTCCCCTAGTCCTTTTCTCCTGGAAGAGCTTGTTTAAGATTGGTATTCTTTTTTTTTTTTTTTTTTAGACAGAGTCTTGCTCTCTTGCCAGGTGCCAGGCTGGAGTGCAGTAGCGCGATCTTGGCTCACTGCAACCTCCACCTCCCGGGTTCAAGCAATTCTCCTGCCTCAGCCTCCTGAGTAGCTGGGACTGCAGGAGCGTGCCACCATGTCCAGCTAATTTTTGTATTTTAGTAGAGACAGGGTTTCACTATGTTGGCCAGGATAGCCTTGATCTCTTTCTTGACCTCGTGATCCGCCCACCTTGGCCTCCTAAACTGCTGGGATTACAGGCGTGAGCCACCACGCCTGGCCTAAGATTGGTATTCTTTCTTATGTTGTTTGACAGAATTTAAAAGTGAAGTCATCTGGGCCTAGAGTTTTCTTTGCGGAAGGGATTATAATTACAAATTCAATTTCTTTAACAGATACAGGGCGATTTAAACTTTCTGTTTCTCCTTGTACCAGTTTCGATAGCTTGTCGGATTTAGTTCTAGAATTTCCATTTGGTTCTTTTTTCAGTTTCTATTTCTCTGCTGAGGTTCCTTCTATCTCTTCGTTATGACTACATTTTCCTCTTGGAATATATTTATAACAACTGCTTTAAAGTTCTTGTCTGCCAAATCCAACTTCTGGTCATCTTGGGGTTGGTTTCTATTGATTCGTTTTTGTCTTGATATTAGGTCACACTTTCTAATTTCTTCACATGACTAGTAATTTTAAATCTTATACTGGACATTTTGGATGGTGAATTGTTATCTTCTTCTTAAGCACTTGAATTTTATTGTAACAGCTGGTTCACTTGGCTGTATTCAAACTCTAACCTCCACTTCCACTGTGATGACTAGCAGCTAAGCTAAGGCTAGCAACCATTGTTTTATGCTGGGCCCCCTGAGGTCACACACAACACAGGCACAGCTCAGTGATTACTCAGAGATTTGGGTGGAGTTTATAAGAGATTTGGGGCCTCCTCCCCTCTGGCTTCCTCTTTTCCATGACTTACCCCATCATTTTTCACTCTGGCAGCACTGAATTCCTACTTCTGATTCCTCAGGCCAGTAACACTGAAGCTTTCCAGAAGTCCCACAGAGGAATATTTTTGACTGAATAAGCTTTACATTCACATACTCTTGATATGTCTCTCTTCTCTCATCTAAAGTCCAATGATGTTTCATGTGCTCCCAAGTAAGTTTTAGAAATAAATACTGGCAGATAAACCAGTCATAAGGACACATTTAAAATATAATTTAAGCCCAGAATAAAATAAAAATTCCTGATTGTAGCCTCTAATACCGTAACATGGTCTGGTCTTATAAAGCACTCCAACTTCATCTCTTACCATTCTCTGCCTAGTTTATTATCTCTAGCCATCCTAGTCTTCTTACTATTTCTCAAACACAGCGGAGCAACAGCTGTTCCTATCACCTGAATTTCTCTTCCCTCGGATCCTTGCCTGGTCGCTCCTAATATTCAGGCCTCTGATCATATATGCTCTCCTTAAAGAGGTCTTTTTTGATTACTCTATCTAAAACAGCTTAACAAACCTCTCCCCCCATCTCCATTAACCTTTTCTTCCACTTTGTTTTCTTCAAAGCACTAATCACTATCTGAAATTATTCATTCATTTTCTTGTTTATTGTCTGGCTCCCTCACTAAAAGTCAAGCACCAAGAGAACCAGAATGTTTGTCTTAATCACAAATGTATCCTTAGTGAACAGTTATCTGGCATGGAATATATGTTTGATAAATGCTTACGAATAAATAAATAAAGAATGATACGGGAGGTACTAAGATAAATCGATTTTTCCCCCACCAAACTGATCTGGCAACAAAATAAAGAAAATTAAAAATATTTATGCAAAAATCAAACAGTATGTTATAAACTATAAGTTCCTTATATGTCATTTAAAATAAAAATGGTATTTCCATTTACTGTGTAGGGCAGTGAAAAATTACACAATAAATTATGAAATCATGTAAATCAACAAATCAAGTATAAATTCCTCAATTGGCGGAAGAAGAAAACTAAGTGAAGAGTAAAAAAAGTGTTGATATGGCTGTCAAAACTACTTAACATGTAGAAATGAGGTAGATTAATGGCAGTGAAATTTGGGGACAAATGGGCATGTAACATTCATTATGGTTTGAATTAAGGAGATGGCTATTTCAAAGCTCAAAGGGTACTTATTGATGGTATTTAGCTTCAGAAGGCTTA